TTCTACTCCTTAAGAATTGTCAAAATCTGGAATTCGCTGCCGGCCGAGCCAGTCCAAGCGACTTCTCAGGAGTCCTTCAAGAGGCAACTTGACCTATTCTTAAGGACCAAGGACAGCATCACACTATGATTTACCAATTTCTTTTCTTCTTTTATTGTTAACATACCTAGGTTCCTGCCTGGGGGATTCAGTGATCCCCTGCTACTAAACACGGAAGCCTGTTAAGCGAAAGCTTCTTCTATTCCGTCCACGACCATTTGAACCATTTGAACTTGCATATAGCATAGTTTGGATGACTAGGTCATTAACAAAAATTAAGTAATTGGTTGAGTATGAAATCCTGAGATGCTCCGTAACTTATGGAAAATTGGTTTTGAAAGGTATACGGAGTATGATTACTTGTGATCTATCCGAAAGCCATTTTGATATCTACTTAGTGCCATAAAGGTTTGGAAGTGATTGCGGCTCTCTAATTATCCCTCTTGATTGAATGTCAAGAACAGGTTAGCTGATTGAAAGAGTCAATCCAGTACTAAAAAACATTATGACGAAATCCTTGCACGGATTCAAAAAGCTCGTTTGGCTTTTGCCGACTCACGTCACCAATCCATCAATCAACTGGAGATCGAGTATACCACGACGCACAATGCTGATGAGCCTGGTCGAGGCTGCATCGACTACTTATTCACCATTCGTCAGGTTCTAGAACACAGGCATACTTATCGACGTCCGACAATGTTGGTCTTTCTTAACTTAAAAGCAGCATGTGATTCTGTAGACCGAGAGGGTCTGTGGCAGTGCCTGTCATTGAAAGGCGTACCCCAGAAGTACATAAACCTTGTAAAGGCTCTTTACTGGAACACTACTAGTCGAGTCAGGGTTTATGGCGAACTGTAATCTACTTTTGCAACCTCAAGTGGTGTTCGTCAAGGCTGTCCACTTTCTCCATTTTTGTTTAACTTCATCATAGACCTACTGATGGAAATAACGCTCTGATAGACTGAATTTTCAGGCATTGATCTCCTACCAGGAGGTTCACTTATCGACTTAGAATATGCAGATGATATAGTCCTGTTTGGTGAATACGCAGATAAAATGCAGAGTCTTGATGGCACTAAGCAGCAATGCCAGAATGTTTGGGATGCGCTTCACCCCTCTAAATGTAAGTATTTGCTTCAGGACTGGCCTGTGTCAACACCTGAACTAAGGATGGAGAGTGAAGCAGTCGGACGCGTTGGCAACTCCACTTATCTTGGAAGTCTGATCAGCCCTAATGGGCTGGTATCGGACGAAATCTCAGCACGGATTCGAAAAGCTCGTTTGATTTTTGCCAACTTACGTCACCTACGGCGAAGGCGAGATATCCGTCTATCAATAAAAGGACGAGTATACTGCGCGGCAGTTCATTCTGTTTTACTTTACGGCAGCGAAACATGGCCTTTAAGAGTAGAAGACACTCGTAAGCTACTAGTATTTGACCACAGATGCCCTAAAAATATTGTTCGCATCTGCTGGCATTACCAAGTAAGTAATAGTGAGGTTAGACGCAGGGTATTCGAGAATGTTGGTAAACCAGTTTATGAGGTTGTGAATCTTCATCGACTGAGATGGTCGGGCCACGTGTTACGTATGCCTGAACACCGTTTACCACGACGCACAATGCTGACTACTGTAGCGGATGGTTGAAAGAAAGTTAGGAGCGGTCAAACCAAAACGTGGCATCGGTGCTTGAAGTCACTAACTTCTGGTCTGAGCCATGTTGGTAGATGCAGACTACTTGGTTGGGGTCCACGTGACTTTCGTAACCAATGGTTGGAGACTCTGGATGACATGGCTCAGAATCGATCACAGTGGCGCCGGTGTATACACTCTGTCTTCCCTTATACTTTGAGATTAAGATCACTTCATATCTTTCTTTCTACGGACTAATTGTTTCTTCCTGTACTATATCCTTTTACACAATCTTTTATATATTACTACCATTGAACTAGCTACTCATATGGATTCGGTGTTCATCTTGTTGTGTTAATGAGGTATGGCAACTTGGATTGATGCAGATATGTGTCTGGTCCTACGTTGTAGCTGACTGACTGACCGAAACTTCTAATGTCTTCATCGTATAGTTCATGCAATCATGTAGATGATGTTCATTATTATCTCGCTGGTTACTGAAAGTGTAGAAATAAGCCAGTCCCAAAAAATGAAATTGTCCTGCGATTCTTCGACAATAATGAGGACCTCTTTACTTTATAATGAAACAGGCGACCGGTCACGAATCGGCACTATGTCATTATGAGGTATGTTTTACTAAGCACGTCCACCTATTATTAACTGCCTTAAACCAAACATCTCATATGTCGACAGCTTTCTAGATATATCTTCGAACTATTTCTGATTTGTCTGGGTCCTGAATCTTCAGAATTCAAAGCTGTTACGGATAAAAGCTCTGTCAGAACATAAATACACGTGACTCTCGTGCAAGTCCTTGTTTTATTTGTATTTGTGTAAACTGACCTTTTACACTCAGTAGGTAGATTTCTTCCAACGTTTGAACAGATTGGGGAGGAAAAGTTGTGTATTGGACTCCCTTGTGGTTTTGAGTGGCTTTACTTTCAAACCAAGTCGTGAGCCACACATCATACTCAAATGAGGTCCAGCGTGTACACTTGTTTGAGGGCGTTCAACTAAAAGTGTTTCTGGAGAAACCAACAAGGTTTGCATCAAAGATAAAAGTCAACGGAACTGTTTATTTCGAGGATCATTTTACAGCCACACATAAACAAACTAAAGTGCAGTGCCCACCGGATCATCTGACAGTTGAAAGGTGCTCAGTCTACCAGTATAATCTGAAAACTCTACTCGAACACTGTCCTAGTAAATTCTACAGCAATTTTTATCTAAAGATCACCCTGGTAAATATACTTCTAAAATTGCACCTTTTTTCCAAGTATATATCAGGCTTGATGGATGAAAATAAATACTGAATAAAGTTTGAGAACTATCCCTCTGACGACAAGATAGACTTAAGTTTTATCGAAATTGAATTCTACTATCAAATATCTGAGTTATTATTTTGTCCTGAACCAGGGCCTTTAAATCATGGATTAAGTACGTCGATGTCAAAAAAGTAATATTCGACAAGTCATATTGAAAACTTTTCTAATAGCTTAAAAGGTGATTTATTTACTATCACTTTAATGTTAACATACTCATAGAACACTCTTACCAGAAAGAAGCCATGAGTACCCCCAACGGATAATTATATTATGTCACTGACAAACATTATAAAGAGAGATATTATCACTGCCAAGAGATGAGACCTGAGACAATATCATCACATGTGTAGAGGTAAATAAATCTCACAAAATCAATAGTTCTGTAAGTCTCCGACATTGATCCTGACCTCATTGCTTTTACTAGATACACCCTAGCTGGAGGGGCTGGGTCACACACTTGCACCAGATCATGAGTGAGTGCTCTATGCTTCTCATCCCTTGCGACTGCTAGCTTTTCGACTTTTAGATAACTTTCTGGACATATCTTTGAATTTCTTCATTTCGGACTACCTATTGACTGGATTGGTATCTTCCATTATAAAGGTGTTACATGCAAATGAGATGTTGAATAAAACTTCGTGTGGCATTTGTATATATAAAGACTCAAGACTGACGTATAACCGCGGGAATCGTTACTAATAAGAAGTAAGGTTTCACATTCATAGCTAATAATTTAGCCTATAACAGCTCTTTGACTTGACTCGATAGTGGGAGAGCATCTAGAGACAACATGGGATATGAATCAGGAGCGAAGTCGTTTAGTCGAGATATCATCTAGAAACATTTTGGCTGCAGTAAATTGAAAAATAGGTTTGTTATTGATCGTGAATGTTTAGAAACATAGACTTTTGTTCATTTTCCATATCAAGGCTTAGATATGGTTCATTCTGCTATACTAAGAGAAGGAGCTTCAACCTCGGCAACACTGATTAGCATGATTTCTCATATTCGCTAAAACGAGGTACATTGCAAAAGAACTGGAAGCTGGGTCGTAAAACAACAATTTTCAAAGGAGGTTGACAAAGCGAACCTTCAGGCTACCGGCTGATATCACTTATTTGTATAACCCCAAAAGTTATGGAATCCCTGACACGCACTAATACACTACTACTTACTATCGATTAACCTCTTTTCTCTCCAATAGCACAGTTTCTCAAAAGCTTTGATAGGTTCAGCCATATATCTCATTTCAATGTATTCATACGATTAGGTACAAAACCACCTTTAATTGATAGACCCACTTCATACCAAAAACTCTGTATTTTAGGCTCAGGGTTAACTTCGCTTGCTTTCAAGCTGGTTACATGGAATTCTGAGGAAAGGTAGGTAATCAAGGGGATAACCTGGCATTTGAGGGGGATGTGACTCGTCTCCAGCGAACTTACCTTTAGCACAACAAGGTGTAAGGCAGTCCACTCGGATTTTATGCAGACTACAATTACAACTTAAGGAAACTCCGCTCTAGAGGTTGAAAAAGATATAGAAGCTGTGGTACCATATAACTTGAAGTCTTACGCTAAATGCAACGAAAATTATTTTCGAGCGAAACCTTGCAATGTTGATGTTGGAGCACATTTATGACCAGTTCAACGGATGAGTTTTCCACATAATGTGCAACAGTTTTATTTGACCCAGTTAGAATGCGGAAACATTTTATTTCCTCGCTCACCTTAAAAAGATAAGGACGCTCTAGAACGAATACAGCTTGGGGACTAAAACTCAAGTCTTTTGAACAGCGCCTCCAATCACCGAACCTTTACACATTAAAGTACGGACGTCTTAGAGGTGATATTCTAATGACTTACGGCATCCCGAAGTCTTATATACATCCTTTTTTAGAGCTCCTGAAATGTCGCTGAGCCATAGCCAAATCACCCGGCAGTCAGGGCACTGAATATCCAACAAATCATCGATCCCTGCCAAGGTCAAGGACGACAAACGCGCATCAATTAATTGTAGACCCATGGGTTGGTGGTTATAATTTCGCTTGTACCTATGTTGAGTAGTATATTTCCGCAATAGTGTCCTCTATGATGTACGGTATTCAAACAATCCACAGTACCCAGGTACGGCAAAGAGGTAATAGACGTTAGCTACTAACCACGAGGCGTGATTTCGTCGTTAGGTGTTGGTCACCTCTAACTCGAAAAGGCCCACAATCACTAGACAGAGATAATCGACGTTGATCATTGCTACTAGATACGGAATCCTGTGAGGTGAAAGCTTCTATCCCGTCCAGAACAATTTGAATTTTTCGGAACTAGATCTATTAGGTTATGAATAAACTGCGTGAAATCTATCATACTTAACTATATGTTTTTGGATACGATAAGACCAGCATGTTCCGAAAAGCAATAGGAATTTTTAGCTAAAATTCGTGACAGATATATATATGACTTTGAATTAGCAAAAGTTTCTTTCGGTTTTTTCACGGCTCTCCCATTGGTTTTTATGATGTTATTCAATGAAAACTTATTACTGAAGCTCATGACTGTTTTTTAGTCTCTAAGCGATAAAATGTATTTTAATTTTCAAAGTAGAGGGCAGAAAGATCACGTAGCATATTTGATGTTGGGTTCGTAAATTTTGTTGTTTAATATAAAATCGTACTGTATTCCACGTGTTTCCTTCCCATTCTCCTCATTTCACATATTTGTTTTCATCAACCACTCCATTATGACTTTATTGCCAGAATTACGCTCCTTAACAGGATGTACACGAAGTCAACACTGATACATAGATCACTTGTCAAACAACCGTAGGGCAATAAAAGAGACGACATATGGGGTATCCGTTTGTTTAACCTTACTACGTGAGACTCGCGCATATCAGGATGACCTGACTAACAAACTATCAGAAAGTTCATGTTGTTGTAAAGTCTAACCCGTATCATTATATATGCCTAGAATTAAGCGAAACATGTAACGCTCTTTCCAACAGGAAAATGAACTCGTTTTTATCCATGTCTCGCTTTATGATGTTGCGACCCAGATAACCGTATGCCGAAAATCACATTTTCATGCTCAATGTTTAATCAAAAAATGGTTTATCCGTTCGCCTGTACAACAGTGTACAAAGGTACTTCTTGTCATCATCTGACTTTGTATAGGACTCATTTGCATTCACCGTTTGTCTTCCCATAGTTTCAAATTTTTCAAATCCGTCATATTTTTTTCTAATTTCACAGATTGTTTCTTCAGTGCCTATCTCTTCATGTTACCACTAATACTGTAAGTACCTCAATGCTCTAGGACTCGTCCTGACAATTTAATCTCGCTCTGCTAATGGGATGTAGTAACTTGGACTGATGTGCACACGTGCCATCGTCTACGTTGTTTGATTGATATTCAAGATTTGTTAAGTCCAAAATGAGTCGAAGCTGCTTCAACTCGGCAGTAATGACACACTAAGTCTTTCCGATTTCGCCAACATAGGTCAGTAATCAGTCTTCACAGCGTAAAATCTAGCATTTATGTGCATCAGTTCCCACATCAAATTAACACGGCGAGATACCACAGTAGTCAACAGTATTATATATATATATATATATATATATATATATATATACGGCTGTTTGGGTTTTTGCATGGGCGAGATCTGAAAGCGGCGGTCTTAGCAGCTATTTTATTACATGAGTGGCTGGTCCCAACTTTTAGACAGACTTCAGTAACAGTATATGACAACTGCGTTATTTTTATATTACTAAATACCATTTTTTATAGGAAATTGTGACCTTCAGTACTTATATTTCATATTCACGTCTTAGTAGTTCTACATTTATATGTCTCATGTATTTGTTTGTTTTCGTAGACTTTTATCCAATCTCAGTCTACACATTATCTTTTGAGTAGGCACATTTGCTTTCTCTGCTCATCATCTGTTTGTCTTATTACTGAGATGAATGTATAAAAATATAAGCATCCGTAACATGTATATTCAAATTTTACATCGGTGTTATCTCTGACGGGACTTTTCAACAGAATATAGACGATGTAAAAGGGATCTATATTTCTTCAATATAATAAAAGATTTGATGATAACATAGAGTTGTCAAATAAAATTTGACACTGTTAGATCATTAGGTCTCTTGATGTTTATTATCACAGGCTTATTTTTGAGATCGAGTTGCTAGCTTCCGTAAAAAGTGGGTTTATGAAGTATTTTTAAGATAATAATATACGGCGACTGTATTATCAAAGTTTTCGATCGCCTGTGTCGTATAATTTATGTTTACGTCTATACGTTGGGTTATTTCAGAAGAGTACGTCCCTAACATTTATTAATTTTACGACAGCTTTCTGGAAATATCTAAGGTAGATAGAGTGCGAACACTCCGCCTCATTAGATATTATTCGGTATAAAATTTAATAATGATGTTGTAGTAGTTTCCTGATGTATTTTTCATAAACACCAAAGTGTACATTATGTGTAAGAAATCATTCTGATCAAAAATTTACCTCATAATATCTTCAGTTTTCCTATTTCCTTTTCTTGTTTCTTTGAAGTTATGACATTGCTTAGCAGTCCGTGTTCTTGTCTTGTAAATAAACAGATATTTCTATACTACAAGTAAATGTCACTAGTATAGCTGAAGTAAGTTATTACCAGTTTTGAATAAACACAGTAAATATTGTTGGGATCTTAAAAAGTTATTTCCAAGTCAGGTTATGGATGTGTTATTTTTCCTCCTTTTAGTAGTGAGAACCACAAACTGAGACAATAACTCTACCATTCTTTGACGCCTCTATATGACACCAGTAAATCCTGAGAAATATTATTTCTCTAAGATTCAGCTTTACGACCCTAATGAAATCATAAATTACGGGATTCAAAAGCAAATTCAAAAGAAAAATAGGAGAAAACTAGCTAAACTCGAGAAGCAGGGTATATTTGTTGGGAGAGACCCAATAAAATTGTTGAAAAAAGCTAACAAGAGTTCAAAATCAGAAACTAACAATGCAGATCTGACATCCGTTGATATCATTCGCAAAAAGTGGAAAATTGCATCACTCAGAGCTCAAGGTATACTGATTCTATGAATTAATTTTTATCATTTCAGGTGTGAAGGTTAAAGATGACATGTCACTTTTGAAAAGGGCAGCTGATAAAGTACATAAACTCAAACGGAAACGAGCTAAAAACTGGAAGAAGCGTATAGAGGCTAATGAAGAAAAGAAACGTGAGAGACAGGTTAAAAGAACTGCCAATATTCAAGCAAGAAGAACGAAAAAACTTTCAAAGAAACTAAATAAAGCTCGTGAAAAAGGGAGAATTTTCTTCACCTGTGAATAAACAACTGTATTTTGTGCTTATTCTAAAACACTTCAAAACAATTACTCACTGATGAGCATTTTGAAATTCAGTCAGTCAGTCAGCTACAACGTAGGAGCAGGCACATATATGCATCGGTCCAGGTTGCCATACCTCATTAGCACAGCAAGATGAACACCGGATTCATAGGAGTGGTTAGGTCAAAATTGGTAATATATAGGAGAAAGATTGCATATAAGGATACAGTACAGGAAGAAAGAATTAGTTCGTAGAAAGAAAGATATGAAGTGATTTTAATCTCTTAGTTTAAGGGAAGACAGAGTGTATACACCTACGCTATTGTGATCGATTCTGAGTCATGTCACCCGCAGTCTCCAACCATCGGTTACGAAAGTCACGCATACGTAACACGTGGCCCGACCATCTCAGTCGATGAAGATTCACAACCTCATAAACTGGTTTACCAACATTCTCGAATACCCTGCGTCTAACCTCACTATTACTTACTTGGTAATGCCAGCAGATGCGAACAATATTTTTAGGGCATCTGTGGTCAAATACTAGTAGCTTACGAGTGTCTTCTACTCTTAAAGGCCATGTTTCGCTGCCGTAAAGTAAAACAGAATGAACTGCCGCGCAGTATACTCGTCCTTTTATTGATAGACGGATATCTCGCCTTCGCCAAAGGTGACGTAAGTTGGCAAAAATCAAACGAGCTTTTCGAATCCGTGCTGAGATTTCGTCCGATACCAACCCATTAGGGCTGATCAGACTTCCAAGATAAGTGAAGTTGTCAACGCGTTCGACTACTTCACTCTCCATCCTTAGTTCAGGTGTTGACGCAGGCCAGTCCTGAAGCAAATACTTGCATTTAGAGGGAGAGAAGCGCATCCCAAACATTCTGGCATTGTTGCTTAGTGCTATCAAAGACTCTGCATTTTATCAGCGTCTTCACCAAACAGGACTATATCATCTGCATATTCTAAGTCGATAAGTGGACCTCCTGGTAGGAGATCAATACCCGAGAATTCAGTCGACGAGAGCGTTATTTCCATCAGTAGGTCTATGATGAAGTTAAACAAAAATGGAGAAAGTGGACAGCCTTGACGGACACCACTTGAGGTTGCAAAAGTAGATGACAGTTCGCCATAAGCCCTGACTCGACTAGTAGTGTTCGAGTAAAGAGCCTTCACAAGGTTTATGTACTTCTGGGGTACGCCTTTCAATGACAGACACTGCCACAGACTCTCGCGGTCTACAGAGTCAAATGCTGCTTTTAAGTCAAGAAAGACCACCATTGTCGGACGCCGATAAGTATGCCTGTGTTCTAGAACCTGACGAATGGTGAATATGTGGTCGATGCAGCCACGACCAGGTCTAAAGCCAGCCTCATTTTCTCGTGTTTACAGTTCACGAGTCTTAGTTAGGCGCCAATAATTATCGAGGCTAGTATTTTAGATACTATATTAGTTAAACTAATCCCTCTGTGGTTGTCACAGGATGATTTTGACCCTTTCTTATATATTGGGACGATAAGTGATTGCGACCAGTCAGATGGGATAACGTCTAACTCCCAGATCTTAGCTAAAATATTAGTCAACCTAATCGCTAAAATTGGACCACCATCCTTAAAGACTTTTGGAGCCAATCCATCTGGACCAGCTGCCCTTCCTCGTTTCAGATTAACTATAGCCTTCTCAACTTCAGCAAGAGTTGGGGGACCTACTTCAATGTTCCATTCACATTGTCTGGGAATGGAGGGTAGTTGTAGAGTAGCTGAAGGCCAGCTGAACTGTTCTCTAAAATGTTCCGCCCATCGTTCTAAACGTCTGGACTGGGAGCAGATGAGAGTATCGTCTTTTTCCGAAATAATCTCACTTACACTTGACTTATTAATTCCAGTTTCTTTTATTAGTCTGTAAAGCTGTCTTGTGTTCCCTATAGTCGCCGCCTTTTCCATCTCTTTTGCTTTCGTTACCCACCACTGCTCACGGTCGTTCCTTAGACTTTTTCTTAACCTAGATCTGATTTGTTGTCGCTCTTCATCATGTTCGGAACCTGATGGGACGAGTTTGCGAGAATCCATCAGTGTGACAGACCTTGAAGAAATCCACTGGTTCTTGTAACTCTGTGGTTTAAGTCACTAATAGATGTCACTGCTGTTTCCACAGCTGCTTGTATGCTTTCCAAGCAACATCTGGGTCAGCCTCGTCTTCACAACTACCTAAGTGTGACCTCAGTTGTTCCTGGAACCTACTTTTGGTTTTCTCGTTACTCAACTCAGTTCTAATGGGTCTTTTTAATGTGGCTTTTTTGCGTCCAGTGAGGCGCAAGCAGATGCGTGCCCGTATTAGGGCATGGTCGGAGTCCAAGCAGGTACTCCAGAATGAGCGACAATCTTCTACCGACCCTCTCCAACGATGACTGATGGCAATATGGTCTATTTGAGTCCATCGTTGGTTTGGTGTAGGGGGTCGCCATGTTAGACGATGTCTCTCCTTATGCTTAAAATTTGTGTTTGCTAAAAATAAACGATTGTCTGAGCATAGCTGCAGCAGACGATCACCATTATCTGTTCGCTGTGTCGGAATACTAAAATATCCACCTAAATGCCTTTCTGTTTGGTTTAAACTACCTATCTGAGCATTAAAATCACCTGCTACGAGTACTATGTCTGAGCGTTTAGCTTTCTGAAGAAGTTCGGACAGCTTTCTGTAAAATTCATCTTTCACTTCATCTGAGCTGCAGTCAGTGGGAGCGTAGGCAGAAACGACAAAAAGGCAACGACGTGTGTCCCTATCCTTCCGAGTTCTTACGTAGCCGTTCAGCCGAACAGCACATAGACGACTGTTGACGGGGATCCACTCTAGCAGTGCTTGTTCGGCCCTCATGCTTAGTGCTATGCCTACACCTGCCAGTCCACGAGAACTTGCCATCGGGTCACCAGATACACGAAGGGTGTATCTCGTTGGCTCTCCGTTTTGCCGAGGTGAGGTCAAGTGAATGACCACACTGGAATCCTGTATGCGTGTTTCGGAGACACAGCATACATCAATGGAAAGAGACTCTAGGGTTTTAGCCAAGGAAGCCTGCTGACCGATTTGACATAGGGTGCGTACGTTGAAGGCTCCAATGTGTAGTTTGGAGCGAGGTTTCAGTAGACCTGGGACAGTGTTTTGAGCACTAGAATCGTTGGCTATGGTGACACTTGAGGAGGAAGCCGAAGAGGAAATTTAGAGTTGAAAGTCGATGTAGGAGGAATAATAGGAATTGAAGAGGAGGTTGATTATGAATACAGTGGTCTTGAGTGCTGTTAGAGGTATGAGGGCGGTTATCACTTCCCGGTTGCCCACACCGTGGAAGGGTTCTTCTGGAGGTACCTGAAAAGGAAATTGGATTAGAGGTGGCTTAGTGACCTGAGAGCGTGACCGCAGTGCCCAAGGGACAACTGCTTGAGGTCGGTCACACACGACCTTTTTATGGGTAATTTTTGTGTTAGCTCCGTACTTATTGAGACCTTACCGCCGGAGACGGATATCCGTGGGATAAGGCGAGGTGTGCATTTTTAGGGTCGACCTTTTCTAACCCCACCCCTCCTTGTGGGAAGGCAGCATCGCTGTCATGCTGGTTGTCTGAAGGAAACACCTTACTGCTGTCACACCTCTGTACAGTCAGCAGTACGACTTCGGACCTTGGGTTTGTTGCTTTTAGTCTTACCGCTCTTCAACCGACCTGTCTGACATGGTAGGACCTTGAGGAACGGTTGTTCCAGCCAGTATAGCTCGGTTGCTTCATCACGATAGGCAAGCCCGACCACCATGTCAAGGTTTTGGTACAGAGAGTTTGTTTAAATAATCATGTGAGTTTGGGCACCTTAATGTCCGATTTTGTCTATAGAAAAGGCCAAGCTATCAAACTAAGGTCCTCTTGTAGAATTCGCTGGCTGTACTTAGGAACCATGTAGGTCTACCTGCTGGTGTTGGCCATAGTGAGAAACGCCTGTGATTTTGCTCTAAACCGAATGAAATGGGGGCGACATATCCTGTCCGCATCACTTAGTATGGCTACTTTTTGTTAATAAACCAATAGTCTGGCATATCCTTCATTACTTTTCTTTGTTCGTTAGCTTTGCCCTTCATAAATATTGGAAGATAATTCCAAGAACTTTACACCACTAAGTTCGTCAAATGACCGAGTCAGTAAAGCCATGCACTGCTGCCGAAAACTCGTTCGCATTTACTAAGTTAAATACTTAGTTACCCAACAGGTGCAATTGCTTTCTTGGTTCACAATTACTAGTTTGTGGCTATTTGAGTAATAAGGTAGAGGTGTGGTGTGAGCTACTTATACTGATATAAGTAGTATATAACGTGCGTTAAAAGAACGTAATGTCCGGCAGCAGAAGATGGCGAAGATCGAGAAAGGAAGAGCAAGAGCACAATGGAATTGTAAGAAAACGCATGTACAATGGAATGGGCGACAATGGATTAGTGTTTGCAACGGGAACAGTACAGTTTGATATGATGGAATGATATTTTGCAAATTGACGATTGACTTTATGGTATTCACATTTTATTGAGATAGTCTGTAATCTTTGTGCTAAATACAATCGATTGTCCCCACCCGTGTTCTTGTTCACTACATTTGGTGTCGCTGCCAACCAGGAGAGGAGGAGTGTGCTGTTCTGCGGACGCCGTTGCGGGCCTGGAGTTGGGGTGCCAGTTGGGGCAGTCTGGTGCGGAGAGGTGGCGTCTGGTGAAGTGTCCTGGCGGGGCTGCGTTGGCTGTAGCGGGTGCTGTCGACGGAGTGGAGCGTCGGGACGCGCGGCTTCTGGGCGGACATCGGATGTAGATGGCTCAGCAGGCCGGTGGAGTGCGGACGTCAAGCGTCCCAGGTGCCGGGTGGATGTTGTGTTGTTTCCCCGGCAGGTCGATAGAGCTGTGGAAGTCAGCGCGCTGCAGACTCGACATCTTGACGGAGAGCGTCGCACAGACTGCAGAGACGGAGAATGTTGCACGGCGAGCATGAACCACCACAAGAACGACTGCTTTAAAGGGGGGGACGAGTGTGGTGTGAGCTACTTATACTG